CAACTTTGATGATACCTGATTTCAAGAGCAAAAGTGTGCAGAGCAAGCTATAGGCAACCATGAAGGAACTGCAACTGACATGCGAGTTCATAGAGGCAACCCACCTGATGGTCTGATCTGAGCATACGAAACCGAACGCAAAGTAGAGAAGAAGAAGAATTTTTCTTTTGCGGTTGTCCATACGAGGGCTTGATGGAGAGGTCTGGTCTTATTCATTCTGAGTGCATGGCCGATGTAGTTCCAGCAGCTCTTACTTATAAAACTGGATACATTATCTTGCTTGGTGTTTTGTTTTATTTGCGTACTGGATCTGACACCTGTCCAGTGCAGACTTGATATTCTTCTAGGACATTTGTACTCAAAATATTCTTTTTTCTAGAGCGCTCTTTGCTTTACATCTCTCTCATCCATAATTTAGCACTGGAATGACACAGGAGTTAAAGAGCTTAAATGTTGTGTGTTTGCTGTGTGTCTTTGATTACCAGATGTTTGACAGTTTGTAAAAAGCACTAGATGCCAGTGCGATTCTAGATGAAATGTCTGTTGTTGAAACCCCTGTAGATGTCAGCTTACATGTAAAACTGTTGACTTTTTCAAGAATGTGATTATTTAGTTTGATGTCGTCTGATCTATTGTTCAGATCAGTAATTTTTGTATCAGTAAGCCAGGTGAAATTTAAATGACTATTCCACACGCAATCTCACTCAGTAGCGCATACAGAATGAAGCTACGTGGGTGATCCTGCCATGTACAAGATACATCTAGATTGTGTGAATGCCATACATCCTTGCGTTTCCGTCTATTGCAGATAGGCTAAAAGTGCTGCAGGCTAAGTCATACCTCAGAGTAGCTGCAGACAAAGAACACGTTCTGTATGAAGCTTTTGTTGCAGTTAAGGGTAAGAGGCTGAAAAGGGGACAATCGTGGATGGCTAATGCAGAAGACACAATAAGACAAGTATGAATGTCGGAGAACATTGGACGATTAGAGAGTCAATGTACCAGAGGAAAGGTCTCACCTGTGTAGGGTTATGATCACATTGGGCCGGCAGTGCAGAGTATTGCCAACGTGTGCTTCAGAAGCGGAAGTACAACAGTTGATTACCGTGAATTCTTCCCCCAGATGATCTGATTATCTTTACAGATGGCTATGTGTTGAGAGAGGAAATTATGACTTTGAAACAGGTAGTGTGAGATTTGGTGTTATATTTGTCACTGCGGTGGCACATTAGCCGAATACATTCACAACCAAAGTGACAATCATACAACTGGTTCATCGGACAGGTGTTAGACTTTGGCATATGGCATAGAGATACTGGCAGACATTTATTAGACAGTTAGGCTTTTTAGGGATGTAAAGTTCTTTTCCAATAGCGGCTCGAACCAGTCTACCGAAAACCATCCCCCACGACGTTCCACTGCATTCAAAGCCAGCTCGAAGCTCTTTCAGCAGTTTCAGCCCGCTGTTTTAGTCCCCGTTTCCGTTCACTTCCTCGCAATCCCAGGTGCTTCAGTGCATTGCACATCGAAGTAGAGATAGGTCCTCTTGCGCCTATTTCGACGTCGAAGATTTTTACTGTGTACGCTTCAACTTCCCTCAGACCAACCACCAAATCACAGTGCATGTTGAGCTTCTACATGTGATTTTCTTCCATCCGCCATTCGTACGGCACGGTCAGCTCTATCAGGATGAGCTGATATTTTCCAACAGAGTGCAGGACCACGTCTGGTCTCAGGCCGGGTTTTCGGATTGATTCTGGGTGCTTTCAGAAAGTGGGCAGGTCGGAAGCCAGTAACCAGTACCTAGCACAGTCAAGTTTTGATTGTCAGGCCTAGGTGCAGCGTCTTTCACCTTTTTCAGAACATATTTTACATCTTCCACCTGTATAATGTTCTCATAATGTTATTTTTTTTTTCTCTTCTTATTGTGGCTGTCTCTGTAAATAACCTCTTCAGGAAAGCCTCTCCCTTTTCTGTCTGTGGTCAAAAGCATGCAGTCATCTCTATGAATAGTTCCCACTATGCTGGACCGATCATTTTTTTAGCATCTGCCTATGAAGCTTCCAAAACTGTCCAAAAATCTTATCGCCCCCAATCTCATCAATAAAATGCTCCACATTCTGCTCTTGAAAAAGTATATCCTCTCTTTCTTATCTCTTTCCTAGCCCACAAGTTCATCCAGTGAGCTTAGCGCTGTCTGTAGCACTTTCTTTAATCATTTTACTGCAGCTCTCTTTAGCCTCACTGCCTGCTCTACCTCTGATGTCCACCATAGAGGCTGCACAAAAGTAGATCTGCCGGTCCTCTTGCATTGTATTGTTCCATTCATTGTTTCGTGTGTTAAAACCCTCAAAAATTTGTCTTGAATTTTTATAGATTTTTATTTATTTTCATTTTGATTTTTTTCTTTCTGACATTGCGTTGGAATTAAGCTTTGACGATTACCATAGCGTTCATTTCGTAATTAGGGTGTTAATTCCTGTTTTCGTAGCTTTTCACTTCGTTTTTTTTTTTTTTTTTCTACTTCGATGAAGGAAAGAGTAGTCAGTGAATTGGGGTAGGGAGTGAGGGTTTAAACTGTCAACCGAGACAGTTTTAAGATACAGTAACTGCCTTGCCCACTCATATTTGCAGCAGTAGTAGTTGTGGTTGGCCGGTTACACAGTAGGGCTGTCATATGGGAGACACGGGTTTGGCCGGCAGTAAGATGACTGAGCCTTTTTTTTGTGGCCGGAGGGGGGGGGGTGTGAAGGGGGCAACATTACACATCCTAACCTTACCAGTCCGTGGCCACAGCACTAGCCATGAGCGCCAAATCCGTTGGCACACGACCCCCTGTCTACTCCGATGTTAAAACAGATAGTAGTGACATTAGTTTAGTTATTCTGGTAGTGGTGGTGGTGGTAGTAGTAGTAGTAGTAACAGTAGTAGTAGTAGTAGAAGTAGTAGTAGTAGTAGCAGTAGAAGTTGAACGGTACTTAAAGGATGGTATAGTAAATATTACACTGGCCGCCTTTACTTCTTTCTACATTTGCTGCTCCCTATTTTAGTCGGATGTAAATGGATGTCATGATCAGTTACAAACAATATCGTAGTAGTCGGTGGATGGGGAAGCGGGGGGAGTGATGACATAAATTATTTACTTAGAGAGCTTAGCTACTCTAACGGTAAAACAGATAGTAGTGACATTAGTTTATTTTTTGTGGTGGTGGTGGTAGTAGTAGTAGTAGTAGTAGTAGTAGTAGTAGTAGTAGTAGTAGTAGTAGTAGTAGTAGTAGTAGTAGTAGTAGTAGTAGTAGTAGTAGTAGTAGTAGTAGTAGTAGTAGTAGTAGTAGTAGTAGTGGTGGTGGTAGTAGTAGTAATAGTAGTAGTAGTAGTAGTAGTAGTAGTAGAAGTAGTAGTAGTAGTAGTAGTAGTAGTAGTGGTGGTGGTGGTGGTGGTGGTGGTGGTGGTAGTAGTAGTAGTAATAGTAGTAGTAGTAGTAGTAGTAGAAGTAGTAGTAGTAGTAGTAGTAGTAGTAGTAGTAGTAGTAGTGGTGGTGGTAGTGGTGGCAGCAGCAGTAGTAGTAGTAGTATTAGTAGTAGTAGTAGTAGTAGTAATAGTAGTAGTAGTAGTGGTAGTGGTGGTGGTGGTGGTGGTAGTAGTAGTAGTAGTAGTAGTAGTAGTAGTAGTAGTAGTAGTAGTAGTAGTAGAAGTAGTAGTAGTGGTAGTAGTAGTAGTAGTAGTAGTAGTAGTAGTAGTAGTAGTAGTAGTAGTAGTAGTAGTAGTAGTAGTGGTAGTAGTAGTAGCAGTAGAAGTAGTACTTGAAGGATGTTGTGGTAAATATTACACTGGCTCCCTTTACTGTTCATTGCAATTGCTGCTCTCTATTTTAGTCGGATGGACCGGGATGTCAAGATCAGTTACAAAAAATATCGTCAGGTGATGACTTTCAAATCCTACATAGAGGAAGAGAACAGAAGTCGGTGGATGGGGAAGGGGAGGGGATGATGGAGCTTAACACATGATTTTAAAATTTCAATTTCTTAATTTGTTTATATTTTACTTATGCTTCCTCAGTTATTCTATTTTTTTCGACTCTCTTAGTTTTTTACAAGTACAGTAGTAAGCTTTTCATCCGTCTCTTTGAAAAATGCAGTTAGCTTTAGCGTGTGATAATCAGATCACCATTTTTTAAAGTCCTAATACTGCAATTTAAACTATGACTAATATATTGTCCCAATTATATGCTGCAAATACTAGAGTGACAAACCAGACTATCTCCATATCTGCGCCGGCAATGATTTCGAAATTTAACTATTTTAAACACATGCGATTTCTATTTATTTATTTTTTTCAAAAACTTTAGATGAAGGAGCGAGTAGTCTGGATTTGAGGGGGTGGAAAGGGGGTGGGGGTTGGTATTGAAGACTATCTCTACATCTGTGTAGACAGTGTTCGTGACATTAACCATGTTAGACACGTGCAATTTCTATTTTCTTTTTTTTTTCCATTTAGCCAATTTAAGCCACAGCAACTCGTGTCCGGGTACAGCTAGCAGACTATAAAGTTTGACTAGAAAGTTCAACGGAGTAAATGGAAAAGACGCTCACAAATGCAACCGAACGTTGCTAAGTAATTCTTTATCAGCAACAACAAATTTACAAACACATTCCGTTTCTTTTGTAAACAATAAGGATAATTTAGTACATAATTGTAGGTGAATGTAGAGAAATTACGAGTGTACAAACATATACATTTATGACACGTTTTAAACTAAATTTGGAAAACAAAAACAACAAAAGACATACATTTTACGCATGCATGCGGTTTATTTTTAAGGCAATTGGGAATCGACCTGATGTACCAACATACACACTGTTTATTTAAAAGATAATTCATTAAAAAATTACCATGTTTTCAAAATAAGTCAGCAAGTAATAATTCACTGAGCTGAAAACTAACGATTTAAGTTTATGGACTCTTAAGAAAAGAGGGCCACAAAAAAAGTTAATGAAATTTTCAAGCCGAACCACATTGACAAGTCGGGCAGCCGTAATCTGGATCCTTGATATATTGTTCTTCGCCACAGTCTATGTCACAAACGAAAGGGGCACACGATACTGCGGTCGCAGATGTGGTCACTCGTCTCGCGTGGAACTGGCAGATATAGGAAAAGCGATTTTGTGTGAAAGTCATAACGCCAAAGATTCCATTACCACAAGAGTCGTCATCCCACTTCCCTAGCAAGCTTGGCACCAGAGTCACACAGCCCTGAATGTTTGTGGTGTGGGTAGACCGCGGGCCTTGACCTGGAGCCCAGTTTGAATAGCCAGGTGATGTACCATCTTCCCACATAAGGGCACCGTCAGCGTCTTTATCATTGAGACCAATCCAAACCTTATCCGCGTAACCATACTTATTCAACAGTTGGTCAACGAAATAATCAGTTATGTCTTGTGATTTGACCACTGCCAGGATGCCTCCTTGGCGTCTGCAGTCTTGATCCGCCTGGGAATAGGATCTCTGACGGTAGATAACGAACTGATAACAGAAGTCCCCGTAGACTTGTAAATACTCGTCTCTGGGCACGGCTGGTGGGCAGACGTCAGTGGCTTCTGCTGCTGCTACTTCTGCTGAAAAAATGTAATACATCTCTTACAGTGATTTTCAAAAGTTGTTTCCTAACACTGTTTTATAAACCTCACAATAACTCCTATACGGATCAACTTGAATTGTTGAATGTGGCCTTAGATTTCACATGTCCGTATGATTTTTTTCAATTTACAGTTGCAAAGGCTCTGACATTTTCTTTGACATGAGTTTGATTAACAGTGTGTGTAACCCTACACATTGAAGTTGCACATACTGTTACACAGTAACGGACACAGGAGTAGAGAAAGTTTGGAAATTAATGTTCTTGTGTGTGGTGATTGTGTCTTTTTAATAGCCTATTCCACATACAATGAAAAAACTGTTCGTCACGTTAGGCTAATGCTGGAGATAAACATTTGAGAGTGAAATTTCTATAAAACGCGTGCAGTCCTTTGTTTAGACAGGTCCGCAATATTATGTAATTACCTGTGATTATTAAGCTGTTTGCCTTATGCTCTAAAGGTAGTGGGTATTTCATCAAATCACTTAGAATCAATATTTACCGATCTCCTGATATTTACTACCTTCTCTAGTTTATTCCCTGATCCCTAGCGATCATGGGTGGAGTCACGGATCTTGTGATATACACGTCTTTCTCTACTTTTTTTTATTGCTTCCCGGATATCATTGCCATATCCACAGAGCTTATGATGTTTACTACTTTCTCTAACTCTACCCTCAGACCCTAGGGGATCATGGCTTAAACCATGGCTGTGTAAATTGTTACTACCTTCTCGGCAACGGAGAAGCCGTTCTGCGGAGAACAGGCCTATGCATATGCGATTACCAGATGCAATGAAGTCAATCCTTTCTCAAGTATTGTACAGGGTGCTACGTGGTCTCGAAGCATGGTGTCCGTCTCGAGTGCTAGAGGTTCTGGGTTCAATCCTCGGTAAGGGCCGGGAATTTTTCAAGTGGACTTGTACTTTTAGTGATTCTTCCTGGTCACTGGACAGTGAGATCGGACGACCGTGTCCATTGTTGCGCACCTAAAAAAAAGACGCTTGGCAGTAGGAATTTGAAAAGAGTAGCCTAACGGCACTGCCTCAGGAAAATTTGAACTTACAAATCTACTTATAGTATTTAAGGATCCTTGCCAGTACTACAGAGCCTGTGCACTGTACTGAGCATCTTCAGACTCAGACTTGAGTTAGAAGAAGACGGAGCACTTATAGGTTACTACCCGTGTGCCATGATGTTGATCTGTTGTTCAAACCTCAAAATCTCAAGTATTGTACACATTCCTTTCCACGATAACTCTATACTTTAACTTGTAACGTGATGTGTAAAATTTTAACATACCAAGTCCGGACAGGGCCAATGTCGAAAGTACAAATAAAAACATTTCTGACTTCAGGCGACGAAGCAATAATGTATGCTATTACTATACACTTTTATTACACAATCGGAGGTTAAAAAAAAGGAAACGCTTTTATACTTGTTTCGGTATTTTATCTGTGAGAAAACAACACATTTACATGTTTACATACATGCTACATGAACCAGGCATTTTGTTTGTGTGGATGTTAACAAACATGAAGAGGGATTGCTGCAATAATAAAGTTTATGTATTGTCACGACATATGCAACAAATAGAGTGGGAGGGGGGAGGGGGGTACCACACAATTGTATTTGTAAGCCTTGTCAGTTTAAATCACTTTTTCCACAAGGAAATCCTAATGAAAATCTGATGCGAATAGGTTTCGAACCCAGCACCTTTCACTCGGCAAACTTTTCTTGAGACCGCGCTTCAAAACGGACTGTGTTAGGAACGTAATAGGCTCTTTTCCATGCCATAAGACATAATGGTCATATTGTACAAGACCTATGTTTATAGATCAGTGGGCACTCGGTCGCTTTAAGTTCCCAGGACTTTCCCTGGTAGTAATTTAAGGCTAAGTCGACCCTGTGAGCTAAGATAATTTATGAAAATATTCTGCTAGATGATGTTTTGAACACACAAACATCAATCACAGCAGTTTCCAGAAGTTAATGAGCTGAACCCTGTCCCCCTCCTCCGCCCTACAACATAATTGTTTGCATAATCTATTTAAAAACCATTACATAATTAGTGCATGAAACAAGAAAAACAAAGTGTAATGTAGGTTAGTGGATGCTGTAAATTAAATAATTCTCTTTTTTTACGAGGGGAAGTCAATGAGTAAATCACAAGGGGTTATGAAAGGGTTATGGGATGGCAGGAAAATGTAGTTCGCGGTTTCTAAGGTGTCATTGGGTGACAGGAACATTGACATTTATATCCTGGTTAGTAAAGTGGTGCTAGATGTTACATGCGCATTCGCAACACAGAACGTAGGTCAGTAGGGAGTGATCTTTCAAAAAACAACGTGCTGCTGTGGGAGTGTGTGTGTTTTTTTTTTTTTTCAAAAAAGGCTGAATGCAAAGGACATTGATAAGGATATGCTGACAAATGGTTATCGCGTAAACTGATGCATAGCTGGTTAAATTCTAGAATAATTCATTAAGATTATGCATCTGTTAGGACCAATAGGGTATGTAATCTGTTCTATGTCCTTGTGATGCTCGTTAAATATCATGTACATCCATACACATTTTGTCTTCTCTAAATCATATTAAACAAATGTCATAACGCGGACAACTCCTTGTTTGTGTGTGTGTGACAGTTTATGAAACAACTATGTGCTCTGGCATATGTTTAGCGTCAGCAGACAGCAACAGCAATGTCTTACGGACTGTTCCTTAGGTCATCTTGTCTGATCAAGCTAACGGACCAAAAATCCCCTTCCGAGTTTATCATTCTGTTCTAAACTCAACACCGATCGGCCAGTGTAGTAACCTTGACCTTGAATCTCTGTAATAACCGCTTGTTTGTCGTCAACTCGAGCTTCTTTAAGTGGGCGTCCTTGAAACTCCGAGCCGGTGACCCCGCTGCGGAAAGTGTGACTTTGTCCTAGTGAGAGATGACCTCTGTGATACATAAGCGCTATTCTGGCTGATGTTCCAGAGCCACATGGGGAACGATCTGTCTGTGGAAAGATTTTGTAAATTTATTACATATTAATAAGCATCTTACAACTGTTCTCGCCTTTCCGTCAATTCAGACGATAGTGTTATATTGTTCTAAATGGAATAATATGAAGACCCATCGCGATGGCGAGTGTGACTAGCAAGACCCGACTTGCTTTCCTAATTATCCACCCCACCCCCCGCTGCCCAGCCTTTTTCCCCCCATGCAACACTGTCGATATTTACACGAATCCACTTCAGTACCTTTGTTATTCATGTCCCGCTTGAACAAATCTTTTTATCGTAGTAGAAGCTTCAAGATCTTCTACCCATTTGCAGCTCACCGTAAACATTCTCCACTATCCTGGTGTGACCCAGCCACTTGGGCCTTTGAAGACTGAGCATTGAGAAAACTGTTGTAATGACTGTTCTTTCCAGAACCTTACAGTTTGTGATCTTGTCTAGACACATCTTCTTCGCGTTCACCGGCTGCAATCTTAGGGGAAAGTTCTGGTTGTTCGTTCACTTCTGGACTCTAGTCCTGTTCCAGAACCTGAGTCCTGCGTGCTTATCTGTTTCACAGGTCATCCTCATTTGCATGTAGACTGTTGGTTCCTTGCATCTCAGGCAGATTTACTCCGACTTAATAGAAGGCTCTCAATTAGTCGACTCTCGCGACATGCTTTTGGTAAGGCAGTGTGTCCATACTTGTTTTCCCCACAATGGGATCCCGGAACCCACACAGGGAGACATGCCACCCAATGCCAAGATTCTTCTTATGCATCGCAATTTAAAGCTGTTTAGCCGTTTCTGCTGTTGCGAAAAAAAGTTGATAACGTTTCACCGCCATAAAGAAATGTGTTGAGAACATACGCCTGATTATATTACATCACGTGGCCTCTATAATACTACCCCAGGTTAACAATATTACAGTCAAGGGTGTCTATAAGAGAATGAGTGAAGTTCAACCCAACCAGAATCTCACAACTAGCGATATTCACCAAGTGGCACAAAGTCCAACTAATCGGAAGAGAATCACCCTGGTACAAGTCCCATAAAACTATTCAACCTTAAGGTTATATTAGGACTAATTACTACAGCTAGAAGAATATTGAAGAAGAATTAAATTAAAGCTTTTGAACTGAAATGCTACACACACATTTTTAGAATACAATGCACCAAAAAGTAGAAAAACAAAGACACCATATACGATCTAATGTGGCAGAAAACAGGCTCATAAACATCATCCTGTCCCGACAGCTGTTGTATTTTGGCGATGTCAAACGTCATGATAAACTGCAGAAAACTTTGATGGAGGGTACCGTGTTCGGAAAACGAGGCAGGTGCAGACCTACGCCAAGGTGGAGACAAGACACCAGAGATGTATTGGCAATGAAAACACAACGAGCTGGAGAATTGACCACAAAAAGAGAGACTTTCAGGGGTCACGTGACGAAAGCGAATTTCTGTAAAGGACTTGCTTGTTGATATAGGGATACTGTAATTCCCACTCCCTTCTTTTTTTATTTTTCTTGTAATTTAAAGAGATGGGACTTTATTCCTGGGATAACTAGAGAGGCGGCAGTTACAGGTCAATATTCTATGTGCATAACTCACCCCTAACAAATTATTGGCCGAGGGCTCTCATTCCCACCCCTAAAAGAACTTGGTAGTTGGGGAGATCTTGGTGCTTAAACCCTAAGCTCTCGGCGCTCCTGGTTGCGTAAATATTTAGGGTTGACGATTTTTTTTTTTTTAATGAGGACTTATTTCACGCATGTCGAGAATACACGTTTGTTCAGTACTGTATAGACAAAGCTGGTAAAAGAGAGCTGACAATTCTATCCTTTCTGTATTGGTTTGAGGCATGGTCTCCGCCTCGAGTGTTAGAGGTTGCGGGTTCAATCCCATGTAAGGGCTAGGATTTTTTTCACGTGGACTTGGACTTCTAGTAATTCACCCTGGTATCTGTGTAGTGAGATCAGACGTCCGTGTGCATTGTTGTGCACGTTAAAAAAAACCTTTGGCAGTTGGAAATCGAAAAATGTAGCCTAACGGCGCTGCCCGGGCAAAATTTTGAGTTTGATTGTTTGTTTGTTTTAGTATCCAGAAGACATGAGTTGTTAACCCTTAGGCTCGATATTATTGATATCGCAACCTTTCGGCCTTGATTTCATTGTAAATACCGTAAATCTGGGAGTAATGTGGCTTTTCTGCCTACCCCCGGGAGTTAACCCGGACCACAAGGAGTTAGTCACCCGGTCACCGCGCAATACGGTTTAGCCAACTACGTTAGAGATCCGGGCAACATTTAAAGTTAAAAATCTACCGAAAGTATTTCAGGATCCTCGCCGGGGCCATTGTCTAAGATTCTTTGGACTCAGACTTGAGTTAGAAGAAGAACGGAGCACTTATGGGTTACTGTCAGTTTGCCATGATGTTGATCCACAGTTCAAACCTCAAAACCTTCAAGCCTGTAATGTCATAACTCGAGCAAACTAACACGTTACACTCATACATCAGCATGTTTTACAAGAAAACTTCTACTTTACCTGATTCGCGAATTAAGTAACTTTTATTGTTACTTGTGAAAGAACTAATTTACTTTTACTGTTCATGGTTTAAAAGTAATTTTACATCCATTGTTAATGATGAAACAATTATTGTACTTCTTGTAATATTTCTTCTTCAGCTTTCAGGGCGTTTGGTCCCCTAGAATGTAGTTTACGGCTTGGATGTGATGTCTGCGCATGTAATTCCAGCAGATACGATTTCCCCAAACTCCGAATTAGTCGCCTTTTTACTACACGCTTTGTAGGTGTCTGTGGATCTGTTTGCCCACCCCACCCCCTAAACTCCTTCGCCCCCCCCCCCCACTAAATAGGGCGCCTGTACCCGAGCTTATAGAACATCATCATCAAGCTGAGAATAATCTTAAGACTACCATGGACGGTTAGAGTAACTGACAACGACTGCTTGAAAGAAGCTAATGAAAGTAGATCTCTATATACAGCAATAAGAAACAGACAAACACTGTTCTTTGGCCACACAATGAGAAGAGAGGCATTGGAGAACAATGTGACAACTAGAGAGATCAGTGGGAAAATGGATAGATGCAGACTAAGAGAGATGATGCTGGATGGCCGGAAACGATGGCATGGATGGAAATCATCAAGAGAGCTGTTCCAGGCAACCAGGGATCGTGATCTGTGGAGACGTATGAGCGCCTATGCCAGTTGGCAGCGAACATGATGATGATGGTGTACCTAGGCTTGAAGAATGCTACATTCAATTTGAACCAACCTCGGAATCAGCGAAGATACAAACATTGGTAGAAACAGTGGACGGTGGACGGTCTCTGGAATCTACGACCACAGTCCCGTACAGAAATGCTGGTGTGTCTGGATGTGAGAGTCTGACAGCTTTCTTGGCTGCAGCTGTTGGCGATCAGTTAAAAAACATATAAGTGATGTGACACACGGGGTTAATTATGCCACCGAAATGGTACATCAATATACAATTAACTAAAACTTGAAATTTTCAATTACATATATATATATATTATAATTAAAGTTTCGATGCTTGTTTGATTTAAGGAACTTAATGTGGTGAGAGTGTGTGTGCGTATATGTGTATATGTTTCAATTCAAATAAGAATCGAAAAGATATTTTTTTTTTTTTTTGAAAGGGAGAAAAAAAAACATATGCTATCAGATCGACCCTGATAAACTGGCGTCAGCTTCATTAGGTCCTTACAAAATTTAAAACTTAAGAGTTCTACAATTTAAAACAATGTTACGTATTTGTATAATGTATTATAATATATGTATGTTAAAGTTGTAAAACCAGTTAAGGACATTTAGCTCAAATTGTAATTAATTATAATTAATTTCACAACGTCCAGTTTGAGAATGGAGGTAGAGGCAGTCATTGCTGCGTTCTGCTGGATTGAGTACACACATGTCGTAACTGTAACTGATTTATTGCATGTTGAGAAAGGTGGAGACAGGCAGGCTCCGTGCAGAGTGGCAAGTATCGCTTTAGATGTCCCTCGTAGTTAGCGTCCTGTGGAGATTTTCTTCAGGTAATGCCAGTATGAAGAATAAATTCAATGAGATGAATTAAAGACACGATAAGCAATCTTAGAAACGTCTGGTCAACCGCTGGCATTAAGGGTTTAAAAAGTTCAAGTTAGTTATGCGTCCTTCACAGAACTCTGCATAACTAGCCCTAGCATTCTTTTCTTGAGGACTGAGTGGTCTCGACGAATGGTGTCCGCCTCGAGTGCTGGAGGTCCCGGGTTCAAGCCACGATGAAGGCTGGCATTTTTTCACATGGACTTCTAGTAATTTCCCCTTGTCTCTGGGTAGTAAGACCAGGCGCCCGTGTGTATTCCTGAGCACGCAAAAAACACAATCTTTGGCAGTTGGAATTCGAAAAGTGTAGCCTAACAACCCTGCCCGGGCACAAATTTACAGTTAAAACGTTGGCGGCTTTTATCAGGTTTCTCATTTCAGAAGTGTTAATCGTACGTAGGTTATCCTTTGATGATGTGTAAGTCTGGCTCAGTGTTGGTATGAATATGCTGTTTATAATCTGTTTCTTGGCGCTCATACTTATGTTTGGATGTCTTAATAACGATGCCAGTTGTTATATAAGTGCACAGGCTCGTTGGCATCTTGTTTCTATTTCCCGGTAGATTCTCCCGTCCTCCGAGAATATACTTCCTAGATATCTAAATTCGTTAACTTGCATCAGACATGTACCATTCAACAAGATATGTAGCGTACTAGGAATTCTGCTGACCTGGTTTATTTTAGTTTTGGTAGTATTTGTTTCATGTTATATCTTCTGCATGTTAAAATTAACCTTTTCAAATGTTCTTGAAGTCAATGTAGTGTGTACGTATTATATGTGTATTCATGTATGCAGATATTCACGTATGCAAATGTGTGCGTGTATATGTCTGTGAGTGTATGTGTGCACGCGCGTGTGTGTGCTTTTTTTAAAACCATTTATGCCTCTGGTGTTTAGCTTTTTTTTTTCTCGTCTCTTGATATTTATAATATGCACATTTTTATGTAAAAATACAATGCTCTATTGATAAAATACAACTGCTGTGTTAAAGATGCGTGTTCGGAAGTGCTAATTGTAAGACGGGTCTGCGTGATCAATTTGTAACCCTTTGAGGAAAAAAGTTAGTTCGTTCCTTCGATTTGACTTTTAAACAAAAAAATCTTTAAAATGAATTCCTAATTCATCACGTACCATTCATGTTCATTTAATATTCCAAAGCAGGTACAACTTTCGGACTTTCTTCTATCGCAATTGATTTTTAAAGATTGTGCAGTGCTTCAACGTTAGCTGAAATCTGCAGAACCCTTGTAACTGTTGTCGTCTGCCATAGACCCGATACTTCTTAATAGGGAGACAGAAGAACGATCAACACTCAGTAAAGGGTGAGACGAATATAAAGCTGCAATTGATACCTGGCTAATAGATGTTTTATACAGTTTGGGACAATGTTAGTGGCAATTTGTGATTGTTTTAAAACACCACCTTGGCTGCTGCCGGAGGCCCTAATATAATCTAACCTATGGGTTGAACTAGCTTTCTGGGACCTATCCTATGTGATCCTCATCCGAATGGTAGCACTTTGTGTTATAGGGTTTTTATTGTTTGATGTGATATCCTGGTGGGGTTGAACGTCTTTCTGTCTGTCAGTCAGTCACCTAATATGGCCGTTACGAATCCCTTAATTATAACCTTTTGTTAGGTTGCTCTATCTGGGAACGGCCATATTGGTATGTTGTCCTGATTGACATAGTTTATCTCAGTTTGGTAGTGTAGCAAACCAAGGGGACAACCGGATCAGTAGATCGATCTCTACAGCACACAACTTTGGCAATAAAAGGCAGGCATGCCAACTTCGAGGCCCTTTGTAAGCGCACCTGATGCCCCCACAAAGAATACATAAGCTGGCTAAAATTTAGTTTCTTTTTCCTAATAGTGATTTAGTCTTCAGTGTTTGTGTGTTTTTGTTTTTTGTTTTTTTTTTAATGCATTTCCTGTTAACTGTAAATTTGCTAATGTTCCTTTAGCAAAGAGAAACAGGTAACTAAACGAAAAAAAACGAGATTTTCAGAAAATAAGTTTCCTTTCCTACCTCCCTGGAAGGTTAAAAAAACTAAACTTCAGGAAGTTACTACATGGATTATAGCAAAGCTCATCATCATCATCAGGTGTCTTGCAGACTGGCATGGGCGATCATGCCTCTCCATAATCCGCGATCTCCTGCAGCATGAATCAGTTCGTGTGCCGACACACCTCCATGCCATGCAACAAGACTGTCAAGCATCTTCTCTCGTTGTCTTCCTCTATCCCTCCTTCCACAGATCTTTCCAGTGGTCACAACATGTTCTATTTTCCCTCTTCTCATAACATGGTCGAAAAATGATGACTGTCTCCTTCTGATGTCAGTGATAATTTGTCTTCGGGCTCCCACCTCTTTTAAAACCTCTTGGTTGCTCTTTTTGGCTGTCCAAGGTATTCTAAGCATTCTTCTGTAAAACCACATCTCTGAGGCCTCTAAAAATTGTTTGGCCTGCCTACCGATTGTCCAGGATTCACATCCATATGTTAAAACTGGATATATGTAGCAAGCAAGATTTCTTTTTCTAACTCTCAATGACAAGGATATATTGCACAAGATGTTTCTAATTTTATAAAATGCAGTTTTTGCCTGTCCAATTCTGTTTCTTATTTCAGTTATGCATCTTCCATCTGATGTTATCCATGTGCCCAGATACTTAAATTTCTGTACTTGTCTTAAAATAACACCATTGACTTTTATTACACATTTAGGAATAATTTGTTTCTTTGATACCACCATTACTTCTGTCTTCCCATTATTCAAACTGAGGCCCATTCTTCCACTTTCTAACACTATAGCAAAGCTACGTCTAAGTATTTTCTTAATGAAATTTATAAAACAAATACACTTCTCAGTACAAGACTGATTTATTAAAACTTGTCACCTCTGGTCAACACTTGTCATCTTTGGTAAACACTAGTCACCTCTGGTCAACACTTGTCCCCTCTGATCAAAATTTGTCCACTCTGATAAACACTTGTCACCTCTGAACCACACTTGTCCCCTTTGGTCAACACTTGTCATCTCTGGTCAACACTTGTCTTCTCTAGTCAACATTTGTCATCTCTGGTCAACACTTGTCATCTCTGATCAACACTTGTCATCTCTGATCAACACTTGTCATCTCTGGTCAACACTTGTCATCTCTGATCAAAACTTGTTATCTCTGATTAACACTTATCATCTCTGGTCAACACTTGTTGTCTCTGATTAACACTTGTCACATCTGAACCACACTTGTCCCATCTGGTCAACACTTGTCCTCTCTGGTCAACACTTGTCATCTCTGGTCAACATTTGTCATATCTGGTCAACACTTGTCATCTCTGGTCAACATTTGTCATCTCTGGTTAACAGTCGTCATCTCTGATCATCATTTGTCATCTCTGATAAACACATGTCACCTCTGGTCAACACTTGTCACCTCTGGTCAACACTTGTCATCTCTGATCAATATTTTCATCTCTGATCAACAATTGTCATCTCTGATCAACACTTGTCATCTCTGGTCAACACCTGTCATCTCTAGTCAACACTTCTCATCTCTGGCCTACACTTGTCATCTCTGATCAACACTTGTCATCTCTGGTCAACACTTGTCACCTCTGGTCAACACTTGTCACCTCTAGTCTACACTTATCACCTCTGGTCAACACTTGTCACCTCTGGTCAACACTTGTCATCTCTGATCAACACTTGTCATCTCTGATCTACACTTGTCACCTCTGGTCTACACTTATCACCTCTGGTCAACACTTGTCACCTCTGGTCAACACTTGTCATCTCTGATCAACACTTGTCATCTCTGATCAAAGTTGGAACGACACAGACATTTCTGCCAGACCTAGGACAAAATAGCAAGAAAAAGAGGTGCCAAGTCTGAAGAAAAAACGCTAACAAATAGGCTTACATAGATGTTCATTTTGAAACTCTTATACGACTATTTTGTCGTTTAAAATTCCAGTTTTTCTGTTCGTGTCTTTTGTTGAACTACTTCATTACTTTGCAGCTGGCGGTTCGTTGCCACCTGCTTTTTAAGTGTTTGATGTGTGTGTGTGGTTTTTTTTTTTTAAGCATGCGTGGCCGATATAGTTCCAGCGGCGTTTTCTTATATATTAATTAATTATGTACTTCCCAACACACACTAAGAACCGCAGTGGTACTCAGGTACAATTACCTGTCACAGCGGTAGCCGCCCGATTGATTTCAAAGATCGAAGAGGTCCCAAAGTCCAGTCCGAGATCAGAGACAGTCACAAAGGCGTAGAAGGCGCCTCCATAAGCCACGTCAACTGTAACAGAGCCATGTCCTTCAACGTGTATGTCAACGTCTGAAATTAAATTATTAAAATGTTTAGGTGATTAGTAATAAGTGATTAATGATTAGTAAGGATTATCATCACAGCACTCCGGTAAAATTCATAAGTGCTCAGATCTCCTTACCTAAAGCTCCACAAGTGTAAAACGACTGATGACGCCTTTTTCGTTTTGGTTAAGGAAAGGTTTGTCCCTTTAGTGGAATGTCTATTTCTTGCAGCTCCAGTCTGCACCCACATGTTCATCAACCTGGACATGGATACTGAGCATCCCCTTTAGTGTCCTCCTCGTGTCGGTAAGCGCTGCGCATGGCATTGATAACATCACTTCTGTCCAGTACTGGACAAGCCATAGCAACCGCAGTGTCAGCAAGAAAATATACATACTCCTTCCCTTGAACACCCGCATTACCTGGCCAAAAGATGGAGGCTAGGGCAGCTTTCGCGAAGTGCTTAATTAGTGTCGCACTTATGTGTGAACTGTTTTGAGTACCAAGCCATGCTGATGCCCTGGTTACAACCACAGCTTCCATTGTAGGACTACTAGTTGTAACAGCAAAGGTGTTATTCATCTCCCTGATGGTTTTCCCTCTTTAGTTTACTGTGAAGGCTAATGCACTTTGTTTGCCCCGGATTACTGATAGGTGTGTATAAACTATAGCATCACCTTCATCTGTGTTTTCGTCAATCAGTGTTCTGACTAAAGTGTCCAAAATGCCAGGGATCTGCTCTCTACAGCTTCCAACACGTGTGATGTGGACTGTAATGTCAATGTTTGGAGCAGGAGGCATGAGTATCCATTGAGTTCCAAAATTAATGTCAGTAAGGCGGCAAACATGTTCGAGGGCGTCCTCAGCGCAACCCATCCAGGATTTGTCTCGATGAAGTCTATTTTAGTTTTGTTAGAATAATTCCTCATGAAGTGGGTGTCGAGGGGTTTACTTCATTTCGAGGAAAGCAACGGCCATTGATAGCTTGTTTCTGTTTTCTACTCTGGGGAAATCCAAGAGGTATCGCATGAATTTACCGAAGGCCTCTCTAGTGCATCATAGAATAATACACATTGCCTCATTTTCGATTTTTTTTTTCTGTCTTTTCATATGTGTGGTGCTGAGTGTCCTGATGGCCAAAGCATATTCAATGGTGGAGAGAACTAACGTTCGATATAATATTACAAGTAGCCGTTGCTGAAAGTTTACAGCTCCCACAACATTTATTGTAGAGAGCCTTTCTTGGCTTTGGTTATAATGTGGTCTACGTGTTTTCTAAATGCTCATCACTTGTCAAATGTTACACCCAAGTATTCCATGGAATCAAATCTCTCTCGTCAGCGCCACATAGGTTTACCAGTGGCATTGGTGTTTTGGAAAGGTGACTTTTTAATGAGGACCAGGTGACTGTGCTTTTAATGGATATTAATAATTTTCGGCCCTGAGTTGTATCTCCAGGATGAAATGCGATCTCATTCCTGTTGTAAATCCTAAACAATGGCATCCCTGTTCTGCCCTGTTGAAGATGATAGGAGACAATGGAGAGCCCTATGGCAAATCAGGGAGTATTGCCATCAGCTCAGAAGAAGAACAACAAACAAAATTTGTTAAGTGTTAGCCAAACGATGATGGGGTTTGTTCTGCAACGTCCAATAACGGACATGCAACAAACTTTATCTTCTCTTTTATGTAGAAGCTTTATGATGTAATCTTTACTATCCACTTGCCAGTACAGTCTTTACCATGCAACAACTGTTCGATATCATGTTGTATCATCGATTTCACTTAAAATCACTTGGAGACACACTTAGGAGGAGATCGCCCGGTGTGCGATAAAGATAATCATTAAATAAACAATTAGTTCACTGTGGTGGCTATTAAGCCATTGATTGACAGGCATCTTCCTCCTCCGGGATGCGACCAAAATATTCGACTCTCCTGCTACACAAATTCACAACAATGATATCAATCCAGCAGGACAAATCCCAGATAGCTAGGTAAAACTCAATGGACACCAGAATAACATCACTCTTGTCAGCTTGTGTAGCGGCTAGACGCTCATATGCGAATCGGAAGGTTGTGGGTTCGGATCCTGACAGAACCAGGTTTTCTTCAAAAATGACCTTGGCTCCTACGTCAACCCAGCCTTGAGTGGGTATCTGGTGCAGCGATGGGAAGTAGAGGCGGCCGGTGTGATGTTGACCACATCAACCACCAAGTGCCGATTTGTCCGAAAAATAGGTCTAGGCTTATATGCCCGATACGTCTGAAAGTGTTAAAAGGCTTCTTTACCTGCAGTCAGCTTTACTGGACAACAAACTGTTCGTTACTGGCAAACTTTATCAAAAGATGACCAGCTAGATGGAATGGACGTGTATGCAGAATGCCTCATGGCAAGGACATCTCTCTAATGGACGTTAGATGAAAAAAAAAAGGAGACGTGGACCACGTAAGGAAAGCTGGAGGACTACAACAGAAAGGGAAATGAAGAAATGCAAACTGGGTGGGATATTATGACCAGAAAAGCATAGAACCAGTAGTAGTATTTACTTGTGAATGTCTTATGGATCTAGTAACGATTTAAATAAGGATCTAAATAGGTGAGATTGATTATGTACTATCGTCGCCTAATAAACTGCCTAAGACAGAAACACATTACGTTTTTCACTTACACACTCAAGCACGTACTCACTTACCCACACACACACTCACTCAGTCACACTCTCTTTGACTTACACTGACTCACTCACTCACACTGTCTCACTGACTCACTCTCTCACTCACACACTTACTCACTCAGTAACTCATACACTGACACATTCACACACTCAATCACTCACTCACTGACTTCCTCACTCATTGACTCACTCACACACTGACACAACCACACACTCACTCACTCCCACACTCACACACCGAATGACTCAAACACTAACTCACTTACTTGCTCACATACTCACACACTCACACACACACACTCACTCACTCACTTACACACTCTGTAATTCTCTCTTTTACTCTTTCTCTCATGTTTTATCTATCTCTCACTTTATCTCCTTTTGTCTCTAGTATTTTCTCACTATCTCTCTCGCTGTCTCTCTTTATAGAACAAAGCACAAACTCCCTAGCTTCAGCAGCGAAATCCATAAATTTCAGGAAATCATCATGTCACGGACTGAAGGACCCTATAACCTTCTTCAGCACTAGGCCAGCGGATTAACCCAGGAAACCATATTGCACTGTAAACAAATATGTCTTTTTCAATTTCTCGGAAAAAATAATTGCTGTTTTTACTGTATGTTATAACTTTGTTCTGTGAGATTCTTGTCGTGTGCTGAATATTATCTTTGAAATATGGCACTGTTCTAAACAGAGAAAGTTTGTTTGCATAACTTTTACACAATGACGTAGGGTGAATATAATCAGCTTGAAGATAAGAAAACTAAAGACTGGTTTTTTTTTAAAAAAAATGGTTTGGTTTTGTTAGTCTTAGATGCTTCCTGTTTCGTGTTTTGTCTGCACCTATGTCATACTTAAATCGATAGTTAGATAAACAAATGGAAACGTTCCGACTAAAACCCTTAGATGTATACCAAATAACAACAACAACAACAACAAAAAGTAAAGACAAGAGCAGTTGTGTATATTATTTAATCGATGGTCGTTAGGTGCAAAGTTTCATAAAGTGATGCTGCAACTGAAAGACAAATGAACTAAGTGCGTGTGTGGTGTTGGCGGGGAGGGGTGGGGGGGGGGGAGGGGGGGGGGGTTGGAAGCGGGGAAAGGAGGAGAGGTGTTTTTTTTTTAGCCTGAGGATTTAGGGCCGCGTAACTAGTGCTATCGCCATAAACTGTTCAGGTTTAAATTTTACTTTTGCTCCCGACAATAGATAATTCCCAACCTTACCAAGGATTGGATCCGGGATCTTCAACGTGACAGCCCTGCCACAGACCTGAGTTAAATTGTATATACTGTTGTTTAAATGTCGGAAACCATTTCTGATGCCATGTTGTTGTTGTTGTCGTCGTTATTGTTGTTGTTATTTTTGTTCTTGTGGTGGTTGTTCTTCTTCTTCTTCTTCTGTTTTCTTTTTTATCTTCTTCCTTCCCATTCATGATTTTTCAGGTGCATGATTTAGATCAACAATGTATAATTAAGAATATCTAATCACCTATTCCATCCGATATTGTCAAAAAGTTGATATGGGTTTTCCTTTCTTAACGGTACACAATCCATTAGACAACTCAGATAAAGCATTTTGTAGTCTTTGTAAATTTACTTAACAATCACTTCAAACAGAGATGTTTTTTGTCACATAGACTGTTTTTAACTGACAATATACTCAATTATAACGATAGCACAGATACCACCAGGAAGGGAATTCACTGAACCCCTGCAAGACAGATTGATGGCCTGAACATGACTGATATGTCTCATCTATACCACTCCTGGAATCAATTGCAAGAGAAATTAGATATACTTGATGCGAGATCACATTAATCACGTTTCTTGGCCTTATGCCTTCATTCAGCCACACATTCCATACAACTCTGTGTATTTAAACTAGATGATTGTTCAAATAAAAATTAAAAAATAATTACGCCGACAGGATTATTAACAAATTAAAGAAGACACAATAGATTGCACAATGTTTTGCCTGGCATATCACGCTGTATCTCGTCAGGTGCAGACTACAGTAACAATTACATAAATGAAGCAAATAAATGAATCCTTTATAACTGAAGTACAAATTCAACAACGATCAAGCATAACTGCCTGTTTTAACTAGGGCAGCCATCTCTTTCTGTATACAGAGTCCTGGGCGCAGGTGACGAATCGCTGAAGCTTCGAGAAATCTTAGCGTTCTGCCATTGGTTGACGTATGAAGGATCTGAAATGCGTTGTTTTTAGTTACCACGTGCCCAGATTTTAGAAGATGTGCTATTGCAGAGGGGTGATCTTTGCAGCCAGTATTCTCATTTTGAATACTATTTTACGTGGCTTTTTCCACCAATACTGGAATGTACTGAGGGACTTGTTTCTCCAGGCGTCGATCAGTTCTGCCCACATAAGCAGCGTCTCAAGTACATTTAAATTAGGTGGATAGTTTTTGATTAGGCGTACGTCGACACTGGTTGTTTCATCAAAGGAGTGGATACGGAGGTAGTTTTATACTTGATAATTTGCAAAGCGGTGTAGAAAGTTTGGCTGACTGCTGTTTCAAGCCGGCCGTATAGTCGTTTTTTAACCTCATCTTGTCGATAGGTTAGATGTATGTAGACTTGTTGTTTGGGGACTGAGGTTTCTGTAGTAGTTGGTTGAGGAGGCTGGTATTGGCGCTTTATAAATCCAACTGGATCTCCGTTTAATAATAACGTTTGTTTGCGTGTTTCTAGTTCAGACTGTAGCGGATCAATGGAGCAAATCTTTCTAGCGCCGTTGAATAATGTTCGTACTAGGCCACGATTGCACTGGATGGGTGCAAAACTATTAAAGTTAATGTACTGGCCCGTCCAAGTATCTTTCCTATGCACTGATTGTTGGATGGTGCCATCTTCCCTTCGTCTGATCAGGACGTCTTAAAGGGCGATTGTGTTGTTACATTCATGTTGTAGAGACAGTGACATGTTTTTGTGTGCCCGGTTCATCTGCATGTGTAGTAGTTCTCCTTGTTGTTTATCAGTGGCAACAATACGAATGTCATCTACATAACGTTTGTAAAACATCCAGTTATCAATGTCTAGATATCTTTTTTTTCTTCTTAGTGTGCTATAAAGATGTCTGCCAGGATATGACCCAACAGACTTCCCATTGCCACTCCGTTAATCTGGGGGTAGGACTGCTTGAGGAAATTGAGTTTGATGTAAGAAGTGCAAAATACCAACAGTGTCTCCAGTTTTGAGGCAGGCAGATCCAACTTTAGATTCTTCTTTGTTATACGGTCTCGGAGGATTTCAATGGTTTTGTTTCAAGGGGACATTAGTGAAAAGGGAGACTATATCCATTAACAAAATTGTAACAAATTGCCTGCCTAATTTCAACAAATTAATCAAATGAATAATAAGTTACAGATTTTTTAAGTTGTGCATAACTTCTGGAACAGACTATAACATTTAAAGACACGACAGTGATTCCTAACATACTTCAGCTAAATAATAGGTTCAACCTGCAAACATCTTGCATCCGTCATGAATCTAGAAAACGCAATTACACAAATCGAAGAAACACACTCATGTCGTATAAATGTATTATACAAATATTGCTCTGCCGTCCTTTTTAGGACGAAATTTTCGTTACTTGAAACCCTACTCTGGCTCTTGCCAGGGGTCGCAATATAGCCAGGCCATAAATATGGCCACTTGGCTGAACGCGGTTTCTGGGACCTCTCCACGGTGATCCTCACCCACATGATGGCACATTGTGTCATCGGGTGTTTATCGCTTTATACCCCTGGTGGGGTATAGAGTCAACCATGAACTCCAGATTTTCACAACGGAAACATCATTTGTCTTCTTGTTTTAATGCACGTTGTATACAAGACACATCATACAGTCTGGCTTGTTTGAATGTTTGTTATATGATTTATTATAGAATAATACAAATTGTGGTAATTCATTGGGCTATTTCAATGTTTGCAATTGAATTCTGACTATTATAGTTTTGGGGAGGTGACAGTTTCGAGTCCTAGTGTGGTAACTGTTATCATCATTTCTATCACATAACACAAGGTGTCTATGGGTCATCAGTTGCTGTTGACTATAGTTACCTCCACCTCTATCAGTCACTTCAAAGGACTTCTGCATGTTTCAGGCATGTCCTGTGAGCCAGGTCTGTCTTGATCTACCTTGTCTGATCATTCCCTCTGTTAAGCCCTTAAGTATTTTGTGGAGAGGTTGTGATATCTTATTGTATGTTTGTTTTCTGGCGCGCCTTCCTATGGCTGCTTCTTTCTTCAAATCATGTTGTTGTTGTTGTTTCTTTTACTAGATTTACCTCATCGTAATGGCATCCTCTTAGGGTAGAAAAAGTCGAGACTGGCCTTTAGCATAGTATAAAGATATGGACAAGCGAGGCATGAATGATACAGGCATTGAGGTAGTTTCGTGGGAAGGAAACGGCATAGATCGTGTTGGTAAGGATATAGTTATAGAAAAAAATAAGATTATTGCAGAATTGATTAGATCTGAGTGTCTGAAAGAAGCATATTAGACATATGTGATGCAACAATGGTTTTGGAATAGCATGCTCAAATTGCCGAAGACTATTCATGACATGGCGGGTCAGAGTAGTCTACCCGCCATCGTGATGACCTGTAATTCCAATGTACGCCTTATCTTCTTCTGTCTTTCTAGCCTCCAGTCGAGCATACACCCTAAACCAGCGCACGCCAAGTCGTTCTATCGCATGCAGCTGTCCCCATGACCTCTCAAACTTTTTAGCTTCACTATCTAGCTCCCCTCTCTATGTGTTCTTTGGTTTTCTTTTATTTGTGAGTCCCTGTCGATTCTAGTTATATTGTTCTAAGGTTTTCTCAACATGTGTCCTTTCCTAAAATAACGTCTTTTCTTCACCTCTTTATCCACTAAAACTTGTTCTCTACATTAGTCGTTCTATTTGTATGCAGACTGCTGGTTCCTTGCCTCTCAGGCAGATGCACTATGACATCAAAGGAAGCTCCCAATTAGTCGACTCTTACGACAAGCTTGTGGATAGGCAGCGGGTCTATTCTTGTTTTCCCTATAATATGGTCCCTGAAGTCATGGTCTGTGATTCTAATGTCTTCCCATAGCACAGCAAGACGTTGTGGTCATGAAAGATGGAATGGTGCTAACAATACTCTATATTAGGATTGACAAACCTGTTGCTACAGCAAAGGAAGGTACACTTTCAAATCTGACGGGTCCAGTTTTCAGATAGTCACCGCTCTGTACGCTGACAAACGTTTTCACCAACCCACACGGGACTTGAATGTTGACCTGCGTCTCTGGGTAAGTTATAGGACGCTGCACGAGACCCTGAGATTACGAAATAAAATTAGGAGTGTTCAACAGTGTTTAGCTTTGTTTTGTTTGTTTTAATATCCAGAAGCCACGAGTTGTTAATCCTTAGGCTCGGTATTATGGATATCGCAATCTTTCGGCCTTGATTCCATGTAAATCTGGGAGAAAATGTGGCTTTTCTGCCTACCCCCGGGAGTGAACCCGGATCACAAGGAGTTCGTCACAGCGCAATCCGGTTTAGCCAACTGCGCTAGAGAGCCGGGCAACAATGTTTAACCGATGTCGCTGAACATGTAATGCTTGCTTGCTCATTGTACCATACCAGGACATCACACACATAGATTGGCCAGCTATTACAGAAGTCCACTGTCCGTGGAGTCACCTTTATTTTTGTTCCGGGACACGCAGGCGTCGATGGAAATGAAAGAGCTGACAGGTTGGCTGGATCCGCTATCACTACCGACGGTCAGCCTATGGATCATGCTGATATTATCAATGCCCTCAGAGAAATGGGAAGGATAGAGGACTTTGGTGACAGTGAATCCACATCACTCGCCAGAATGGCAGACTTGGGAATTAAGATCGGCACAGCAAAAAACGAGACGCACACCAGCTACGCCAGAAGACTTGTTAATCAACATAGAACTGGTACTATTAGCCATCGGACGTTGGGGTTCATACTGAGGGGAGGATCTGAGCACCTATGGACATGTCCGGAGTGCAATGAGGATAACCCAACTAACTAACTAACTAACTAACTAAGATTGGCCAGCTCTGCACCACTTGACGGTGAACTGATGTATGACAAGCTAGATAATGTGAAGGCCCGTTGGGAACTAGTGAGCAGTGCGGAGGCGGAGATGGATCATTACGGTCTGAGAAGAATAGCGCTCCGAGGAGTTACCAAGGAATCTAGCTGACGCTTAACATTCAAGAAAAGGACGAGACGGGTATAAAATCAGACCGTTACTGGTGCCATCGGATTTGGAACTCTTCGCTTGCTGCTGAAGATGAGGATGGATTACTTAAGGGAGTGTCCCGAGTGCTGTAATGTCGATTCATAATTCAACTTCAACATTCAGTTTTCTCTAATGTTTTTTTTTTTTAATATGTGAATTATTTCTTCTAGTTTGATTGAAACTTTTTTGGGATTTTTGTGTGTGTTTGTAAGTGAGTGTGTGTGTGTGTGTGTGTGTGTGTGTGTGTGTGTGTGTGTGTGTGTGTGTGTGTGTGTGTGTGTGTGTGTGAAGTTATTTAGATCGTTAGAACAGCTACTAACAATCACACATTTGATTCTTGTGTTTCTATAAAGAATGACATAACATATGTCATGTTATCACAGTCGGTGTTACTGCACATTGTGGAGCCCATTCTAACCTGGATCTAGATGACGCACGTGTTTAGTTTGAAAAGCAATCCACTTCGATGATGATTTGAACCCTAGACTGTCAGGTCATCGTGCGAGCGTCCAGCTCCTTTTATTTCTGTACTATCCCCCCCCCCCCTTTTAAAAAAACGAAATAAAACAAAAGAAAGAAAGAAAGAAGAAAGAAAAGAAAGAAAGAAAGAAAGAAAGAAAGAAAAGAAAGAAAGAAAGAAAGAAAAAAAGAAAGAAAGAAAGAAAGAAAGAAAGAAAGAAAGAAAGAAAGAAAGAAAGAAAGAAAGAAAGAAAGAAAGAAAGAAAGAAAGAAAGAAAGAAAGAAAGAAAGAAAGAAAGAAAGAAAGAAAAGCATAGCTACTGAAAGCAACATAATTTTGGCATTAAAAATATTTGTGATATAATGAGTGAAATTGTTCAAATTGTACAAAAGAATACCGTAGGGTCCAACTTGTCAGTTGACAGTTCATTTGTACCTGAGTCATCGACAGCTTTCAGGCATTATGGCTTTCCTTTCAATTGATAAAAACACGCCGTGAAATAACTATGCGTTTGGGGTTTTTTTTAATTGGCGTTTTTTTTTTTTTTACAGGATGTGGCAGGACCAACCCCTGGACTTTTTCTCGGTTGTTGTTTTTCTGAGCATATTTTACGTTCTGTATTTTGCCATTACTTACTCAACGGTCACCTCTCGTTACCACTTTTAAAACCAATGCAAGACAACCCGTCTGCGGCTGGTATCGAACCCGTCACGCTCGAAACGCTCAAGCCACACACGCCAACATGTTTCCTTAAAGATTGGGTGTTTGGTCCTTGTGGAAGTAGTATACCCATGAGCTTAGTTTCTCATTCTCTCTCTCTCTCTCTCTCCTCCCCCTTCTCTCTCTATCTATCTCTATCTCTCTCTAACTCTATCTATCTATCTATCTATCTATCTATCTATCTATCTATCTATCTATCTATCTATCTATCTATCTATCTATCTATCTATCTATCTATCTATCTATCTATCTATCTATCTATCTATCTATCTATCTATCTATCTATCTATCTATCTATCTATCTATCTATCTATCTATCTATCTATCTATCTATCTATCTATCTATCTATCTATCAATCTATCTATCTATCTATCTATCTATCTATCTATCTATCTATCTATCTATCTATCTATCTATCTATCTATCTATCTATCTATCTATCTATCTATCTATCTATCTATCTATCTATCTATCTATCTATCTATCTATCTATCTATCTATCTATCTATCTATCTATCTATCTATCTATCTATCTATCTATCTATCTATCTATCTATCTATCTATCTATCTATCTATCTATCTATCTATCTATACCCGTGAGCTTAGTTTCTCATTCTCTCTCTCTCGCTCTCCCCCTTCTCTCTCTCTCTCTCTCTCTCTCTCTCTCTCTCTCTCTCTCTCTCTCTCTCGCAGATATTAGCTAGGACATTATGTTATGGCCAGGGTTAAACAGATTGCTAGAATGAACCTGCCTTACATTCAGAGCAAATTATTTTTTTCAAAAAAAGGTAAAGTAGGAAGATTTGAACCAGCGTCTTTGCACACAGTTATAAACCACAAGTAATCTGCCACCAGTACAGACAGCTGTTAAGAAACTGTCCGCCTGTGTCACCGTCCACACCCAACTCCGCAGCAACAGCGACGTTCCTCAATTTACCCCAGAGTGTAAACTCTAGTACCCATTTCCTAGAAGATGGGTGAACCTCGAGAACCGCCCGGTTTCAAAAACCGGCCGTGGGCTGAAGCGAGTCGCAGCTGGATTTGAAAGCTAGTCCCCTATCGACTGCGCTAATGCGGCCCCCAACTTATTATTATTTTTTAAAGTACACACCTTGTCTACTATGTACCGCCCTAGGGAGATACAAGCATGTCCACACATCGTAGAGTATCCCTCGTTGTGGAGAAATATGGTGGCAACATCCGCTTCCGGGTCATCAGGGGGGACAAACAGGACAGCATACATGTCGAAGTGCCCATGTGGCTCCAGAATAACGAATTTGCGGTAGTGGTCGAAGCTAATAGTGGAGGTAAAGTTTTAAAGAATTTGATATTTCTTATGCCAATCAACTATTTTACAATATGCATGTGTGTGTCTGTGAGAGAGAGTGAGTGCGTGTTGTCAATCACCTGCATCATCTGTGTGAAAAAATAGCAGCGACTTAAACTTAGACAGGTTTTAAAATATATCCATAACGCAATGCTACAAATTTCGGTCGAGAACAGGCACAGGTTGGTAACCATTATTAATGAACCGATTTTAGTATCAGTTACATATTGATCGCATGACTTTTGTAATCTTCTATTTAGCCGTTCTTAACATTTGTTAACTCCTGTCTGGGCTGTTGCCGTACTCACGATTCAGGTGCCATTTTATTTTATGATGCTATATTATTCGTAAAAATTAAGGACCTTTTACCAGGCCTTCAGGAGCATTGGGTATATAGGGCTAGACCTATATTTTATAGACCAAACAGCAATTGGTGGGTGATGTAGCCAGCATCTCATATAATCGTACATCTCATATATACACACATACACACACGCACACACATATTTATACATATACAGTTATGTATGTATTTCCTGATGTTAAAATAAATAAATGTGTTTAAAATAAGGATTGCATTTTCAATTATACAAACTAAATCACATATTTTCTGAACAAACTGTGTTTGTAATTGTGTTGTTAATTTAGTAATCAACCAAAAATAAATTAACAGTGTTTACACAAATCTGTTTTAAATTTAACAAATATTTAATATGAACAGAGAAGACGCAAACAACAGATTGAACACTTTATTACCTGGCATATTTGGCTGTATCTCGTCAGGTGCATACTACAGTAACAATTACATAAATGAAGCAAATAAGTGAATTCTTTATAACTGAAGTACAATTTCAACCTGACGAAATACAGCGAAATATGCCAGGCAATAAATTGTGTAATCTATTGTTTCTGTTTTCTTTGTTTAAATTTACAACAAGGAAACATTGCTTCGAAATTTTTAATAATTACAAGAACATTATTAAGGAAAGAAAATAACCTTTTACTCATTTTAAATACAATAAGAATAATTCAAAATATGTGGCACCATCATTATGAAGGTTTACTGAAGAGGATTCGTGAATCCACTGTATTTATTTTGGGGGGGGGGGGGGGAGGGGTTTTGTGCAAAAAAAAAAAGGGGGGGGGGGTATCAGTAAGTAATAGTTTGAAATAGTAAGGTAAAATTTAAAATCAAAACAAAAAGCAATTATTTGTTTAGACGTCCATGATTATATGAAAATTTAAACTAAAAAAACAATTGAAATTAAAAATCAAGTGAAATGGATTACTTTTTTCTCAAGTATTCAATTTTATCCAGAATTGTCTTTCCTTGGGGGACAGGATATCCGGACTCAATGATTCTCACTGGCTCTCCGCCTGTGTGCATTTCTGTGGTCGTGATGACCATCTCGTGCTGTTCCTGGTTCTTCATATGTTCTTTCGTGGAGGTCGTCATGGTGTATGCCTGCAAGTAAGTGGAATGATGTAATTAATCATTCTATGAAGTCTCATAATACCGCATGAACATGGAAGAAAAATGGGCCATAAACGGTATCTTGTTTCTAAAACATATAAATAGGGACGATTTTATGTATCACGCAATACAGTATGACATTTTTTTTAAAATTATTATTATTATTGTTTTAATTTTCATTTCAAAGCCCCTATCCGGCTGTAGCCGCGGGCCCTAAAAAAAACCTAACGATTGAACGGGGTTTCTGAGACTTGCAACTGGGCGATTCTCATCCCAATTGTCGCCCTTTGTGTCACTGGGTGTTTCTCGCTCGCAGCGTCGTCCTGAAGGGGTTGATGGCCGCATTGAAAGATAAGAACTAGAAGGAATTGTTAACTGAACGAGCGAACTTTTATTTCAAGGATTTAAACATTGGACTCTCAGATCCTATCTAACGTTCAACCCATCAGGTCTTGCTTCTTACTTTCATTGTTCTATTCAAGCATCAATAAACGCAGTCGCATTGACACAGACAAGATTTCAGGAGTGGGTACCATCATTCCCATTTCGCCGACATACATATTTCTGAGGCAAACAAAGAGGACAGGGGCCTCACAGGGTCAAACTAGTTTTTAAAAATAATAATACTCTTACCAACGATATGCTATCAATTTAAAGCATGTACACTGTTTTCAGAAGATAGAAGGAAAATATTCTGATATGTTTAAGTACATGGGTACCCGGACATCATCAGGTAGAAGGAAGTTGTAGAACAGCTCAAGTAAAGGCAACATTTCATAACATGAAAAATATTGTGTGCAATCTATTTCTTTGTCAGTTGAGACGAGAAAGAAAACTTAAAAGCTTTAAAAAGTGTAACATGATAAAGGGAAGTCAATCATGGACAGTTCGTAGATCTGTGATAATTTATATGGAAGCTGTAGGGGAGTGATTTTGTAGACGAATAATTACAGTACAGATAAAACGATTAATAAAGATGTCCTGAAAGAAACTAACTCACAAAGAGAACTTACTGCACATATTAGAAAGTCCACATTTTTTTGGTGATATCATGAGAAATCTGGAGTACATCCTGACTGTTGAGAAAGTTGCAGGGCAAGAGAGGCAGAGGAAGATCGAGAGAAAATATGCTCAACAGTTATGTATCATGACATGGAAGATCATCTTCGTCACAGGAGAATGAAACAATACGAGATAGAAGGTTGTCGAGAGGCATGACTACTAGGTCCCGCGGCATGGACTATGTGAAGAAGTAGATGTGGAATTCAAACATAGGCTGCTTTTACTTCTCATGGCACATCCTGGTACATATGTGAGTCTTTGCCGTACTAAGTGGCAAAGTTAAAAAGATTAACCTTGATACGAAAGTATTAGTAATTAGTAGGGTTGGTGGTAATGTTTACAATATTGCTACAGTGATAGTGGAAGTAGAAGGAGAAGTAGTAGTAGTAGCAGCAGCAGCAGTAACAGCTGCAGTAGAAGCTGCAGCACAGTAGTAGTAGTAGCAGCAGCAGCAGCAGCAGCAACATCGTAGAAGTATAAGGATTAGTAGTAGCAGCATCATCAGCAGCATCAGTAGTAGTAGTGATGGTGGTGGTGGTAATAGTAGTATTAGAGGTGGTGATGGCATTATTGGTTCAATGATACAGGTAGTAGCAGCAATACTGTAGTAGTAGTAAGACATATTGCTAGATAAACCTATAACCACCGTTGTTAACACGGCCCCATTCATATTTATGGAATACTCAAAGGATGTATGTCACTAAAATTCCATTAACTACAAAGGTACCGTAACCT